ACCCGATCAAACTTAAATAAGAGTATCTCATGAGAGAACAACAAATTTCGATCCAGATGAACAATTCTCCTTTTTTAAAGTGTCTTCTGCGAATCAAGAAAGGTTCAGCGCCTTATAGGATAAGAGCCCGTTTGGAGAACTCTGTTTTCAGCTTATCAGGCTTATCAGCCAGCTTTTTCACCAAACACGTAACTTTTACTTTCGCGCGCTGAATTGTGTAATAAGCTGAAAAAGTAAGGTTGGAGTTACTTTTCTGGCTGTATTGGCTGAAGTTACTGTAGAGGACCATTTTAGCTATTTTTACATATAATTTTTTCTTTAATTTATTAATAAAATATATTTTTAAAATATTTTTTTCTTAAATCAGCAGAATCAGCCAAAACAGCCACTCCAGCCAGAATATCATAAATTTCAGCAGAATCAGCCAAAACAGCCGATTTTGGTGCTACCAAACGGGCTCTAAATAAGTTCACATTGTGAGCACCCGTACACTTATATCTAGAAAAATGTGACTTTGTCCATATGTAAGTCAACACAAATGTTATAGAATTCCGGGCAGGAACCGCCGATGGCAGCGTTTGGCCACCTTCCCGGTGGCATTTTTTGATGAAACTTTTATGGCATGTTCTCCATCAAGTCTAGTTTATCCACAAAAACATTAAGCCAAAAACTCAACCAGGAAGGTCGTCAAATGATTTTTGCAAGTTAACTGGTCCGAGATATGTATTTTCCGGACCAGTTAACTTGCAAAAATCATTTGACGACCTTCCCGAATGAGTTTGTGGCTGAAATGTTTTGTGGATAAACTAGACTTGATGGAGAACATGTCATAGAAATTTCATCGAAAAATTCCACTCGGAAGGCGGCCAAACGCCGCCGTCCGGACGGCGGTTCCGGTCAGGAATTCCTGACCGGAAGAGTACTCTGTAAGTCAACACAAATGTTCATGTCCGGAATTCCGGACAGGAACCGCCGTCCGGACGGCGGCGTTTGACCGCCTTCCCGGTGGCTTTTTTGATGAAATTTTTATGGCATGTTCTCCATCAATTTTAATTTATCCACAAAACAATTCAGCCAAAAACTAAATCGGGAAGGTCGTCAAATGACTTTTGCAAGTTAACTGGTCCGCAATATGTATTTTCCGGACCAGTTAACTTGAAAAAATCATTTGACTACCTTCCCGAATGTGTTTTTGGCTGAAATATTTTGTGGATAAACTAGACTTGATGGAGAACATGTGATAAAAATGTCATCGAAAAATTTTACCTGGAAGGCGGCCAAACGCCGTCGTCCGGACGGCGGTTTCGATCAAGAATTCCTGACCGAAAGAGCACTCTGTAAGTCAATGTTTAATCTTTGGTAATGATTAAATATGGACGTAAATATATATAGATATCCAAATATAGTAAAACAATAAATCGCTTTTTATTCTATAGTCACTTTGTACTTCTAAGATATACTTCACGCATGTTGATTCACAAGACATGACATTTAGATGCACTTTTCTTGCACTTAAAATAGATTGTAATATAGTGGTGTAAGTACGAGTATGGTCTCCACATGGACGGACAAAAAGTCAAAAAGGAATCAAGAATTAATTAAATTCAGCGATTAAAAATAAATAAAATAAATGCGTCGTGCGAGATATGATTGGTTGCTGGAAAATTAAACTAATGCAGGTTAACGAATAAAAATAAATTTGGTTTCTTCTTAATTAACGACGAAGGAAACAAGGATTGATTTCGGGGTAACCAGATTTCTGGCAGATCAGGCCTAATTACATGAATTTAATTTAATTGAGCCTAGCTAATCATTACTAAGTTCTTACCGCTCTCGCGGCGTAGAGTACAATAATTTAGGGGACCAGGCTGATCTCTTATGCGACAGGATCCTAAATTATTGCCAAGATGAGCGAGCTTACGGCCCCTTAATCGCTACTAATCTCTTAGCGAACGATTAAGTGTGTGTGAAGGTGTCCTAAAATAAATTAGATCTCTCTTAACTTATTCTACAAGCAATTGTAATTCTAGCGCGCGTTTTAGTTTACAAAAGATATCAGTTAAATTATTCAAACACAAATTAAACGGCATTCATGCAATTAAACCATCAAGAATCTAGTCATACATCATGATTAACCTCTTCATCAACCCCAAATCCCTAATTAAACTACTCACAATTCATAATTGAAGAATCAACAGAATTGGGAAAAATATAATAAATTGTCATTAATTAAAAAGATGAACTTACAAATAATCCCAGGGTCTTGGAGTAAACAATCATAAAAACGCAAGTAATTCGTCCCTAGGCCTCTCCGTAATGTTCGTAACCCCCAAAAAGGGTTAGGGAGGCCTTATTTATAGAAAAATGGGAAAAAATGAATTCGGGCCGATTTGGGATTCAATTTCGCGTAACCCGGGGCTACGCACGGCGTGCGTCCCCCCTACGCACGGCCGTGCGTTGCTGGCAGTGTCTTCCTTGCTTTTTCGCCTTCAGACGCACGGTCGTGCGTTCCCCTACGCACGGCGTGTGTCAAACTTCCGAATTTGACAAAACTTCCTTCATGAAAGTTGTAGATAATGAAGTCTGGTATCCACCACAACTTTCCAAATTGGATTTGGATCATTCAATCAAGAGATATAATTAAAATGGTGGAAGGTCTCATTCTGAAATGGCAGCAGGGATCATCTGACTTCATCTTCTATTTTCATCTTCTTCCTCTCAGATTCTCGGAATAATGTCTTAATATGCTTTGTAGCTCTTGAAGATAGCTTTCATGTGGACTTTGAATCGTGTTCTTTAGATGCTTCTACAAAGAGATATGTTTGAACGATTGACAGAAGGTCATACTGAATGTCGTTTTCAAGCTTTATTCATCTTCTTTTGATCTCATAACCAATTCTAGAGCTCTTTTGTCATCAAATCTTCATCGTAAATCTCCCGGTGACCTCCAAATCTCTCAATCCACTCTCAAATGCATCTCGAATCATCTCGATTGCTCCTCAAGCGTCGGTGCCGAACTCTAAATTCCTGATTTTGACTTCAAATGACACAAAACTCGAACCAACGCCTGGTAAACATAACTTGAGCTAAAATTGAGACTTGTGACACCTTAAAGCTAGGAAAATCATCAAAATCCAATCCCAACACGCATCAAATGTGTGTCCAAATACGGACTTATGAATCATAAAGTGGTTTTCCGCGTTAATCTCACTGAAAAGAGAAACCAATTCATCTAACTTGGGGAAGAAAAGTAAGTGGAAATCGACACATACATAAAGAAAGAATCTTGTAGCACTGCACATACGTGACATACTATTCTCTAGACCTAGCGGCCGTAAACATTAGGGCCTGTTTACTAACGGAGATATTTTTCAGTTTTCTGAAAAACTTGAAAACTGGAAAAGGAAAACAGAAAACGTGTTTACCAAAGAAAATTGCTGGAAAACTGGATAAAGGAAAACAGAGAAATGCGTTTACCAAATCGTTTTCCAAAACCAAAAAAATGAGATATGACTCGAATTTCCTTAATGAATTGAAAAGTGACTTTTACTAGTTTTCAAATTTGGAAAACGTGGATACTGCAATGCCGCTGCAATGAATTTTCATATTTACGCCTAGTGGTGGATACAGTCCCGCTCCGATGTTAGTTCTAGTTCGGTCCGGCTAACGACCAAACGATCCGTATTTGGTCCGGTCAAATAATGACCCAGTGGTCCGGACCAGTATTGACCTGGCGGTCCCTGTCAACCCGGTCGACGACCAAGCGATCCTAGCTTCTCCGGTCCGGTCGACGACCCTGCGGTCCCTATTAGGTCCACGACCTGGCAACCCCTTTCCAGTCCGGCCCACGACCTGACGACCCATGTCTGGTCCGATCTATGACCCGACGGTCCGTGTTCGGTCTGATCCATGACCACGCAGTACCTGTTCGGTCCGGTCGACGACCGAGCAGTCCCGATCCGATATGGTCTGGTCAATGACTAGGTAGCGTCCGTCCGGTCCGGTCAACTACTCAACGGTCTTTGTCCTGTCCGGTCAACCACCCTGCAGTCCCGTCTTATCCGATTAACGACCCGGTGGTCCATATCATGTGCGGCAAATGATCTAAGAGTCTGTGTTTGGTCAGATCGACAACCGGGCGGTCACGGTCCAGTCCCGTCAATGACACGACAGTCCCTGTCCGGGTCGGTCAATGACCCGGTGGTTCGGTCTCGGTTTTTTAATCATTTTTCAAGTGAAGAATTTTAAAAGAGCCGTTGAATTGTCAACCAATAGGGAAATGAGAAAAGAATTCGTCAAACTAACCATTGAGATCAATCGGGACCAACCAGTCCCGATCCCGATTTTCCTATGTGTGGACCTAGTACCTTACTTGGGTTGTACTAGGTTTGGTTCCAGACTGGAATCGTAATTTCAGTCTTATGGTCAGTCACAGAACCAGGTGAAAAAAATTTGATGAACATGTTTTCAGATTTGAAAATGGAAAACTAAAAAATGAGAACAGAAAATTGCAAAGTTCTAATGTGAAGTTGTGAACAAGGTATGATATCTTGACGCTACCACAAAATTTATCCTAAATATTAGTCATTCTCCACCCTAATCTGGAATAAAAGTTGTCTATTTTAAACTCATACTTTGATTGAGTTGATTAATATTTGTATTATTATCTTACTCATTAGTCATTACTCATTACTCAAACTTGTTTGATCATTTTGTTTGGAAGGCAATGATAATTAGTAGAAAGTGCTCCAATGGTTAAATTACCGTCTTTGGGCTCGTGGCATTTAGAATTTTTGTTCTTAAAAACGCCATAAAGAAGGAAGCGGTTGAAGGCAAAAAAAAATGAAAACCGACAACCTGTTTAAAAGAGTATATATTCTATTACCTCCGTCTCTCTAACTAAAGATGAGGAGGTGGTGCAATTATTAAGAAAAATGAATTTATGTTATTAGTATTGAATTGATAAAGTATGAACAAAGTAAAAACGATTTAGAACCATAAAAACAAAACATTACCAAATTTGGTATGAAATAATATTAGTGACACGGATAAAAAAAATAAAGATGAGACAATCATAGCGGGGACGGAGTAATAAAGACCAGTGGCGGAGCCAGGATTGATAGGTTACAGGGGCCGGGGCTTAAAGAATTTATATAGCAGGGGCCAAAACTTAAATTTTCACTATATTTTGTAATACTTCTAAATATTTATACATATATATACATCACAATTTTTTTCTTGCAGGGGTCGTGGCCACCGCCAGCCTCCCCTGTCTCCACCCCTGATAAAGACGGTTGTATTTACCATCTAACATATCAACTACTCCCTCCGTAACTTTTAAATCTTCCCATTTCAAAAGTAGGTAGATTAAGAATAGTGAAAGATGATATGAATTATTGAGGGTATGATGGGAAAATAGTGGAATAATGTGGTGGAATGTAGGATAAATCCAAAAAAAGTAGTTGTAATAGTGTATTATTTTAAGAATTATTGAGGGTATGATGGGAAGATTTAGAAATGGGAAGATTTTTTTGTTACGGACGAAAAAGGAAAGTGGGAAGATTTTTAAGTTACGGAGGGAGTATAATGTTATTCCAATTCTGAGTTTAAGATGCTGACAACTAATTGTCTCCTACAACTTTTATGCTAAAGGAATCAGATCTCCAAAGTGACATCCTCAAACTCTGGACAAATATAGATGTTGGGAGTTGGGAAGAAGATAGAAGCATTTTTTTACACTAGAGATGTGTCTGTGCATGCTCTGGTTTGTGGCTGAACTCGTGATCAAGATGAACAAAGGCCCGCTCGATGTCAGGTAGCCATTCCAACTTCTCTTGCAAGGACTCTCCAATATCATGTGCCTCTTTCAAGGGCATGTCTGCAGGCAAGACAATGTCAACTTCAACGAAGTAGTTGGAACCGAAGGTGTATGCCTTGACAGTATCTATGTGCCGTATGGATTTGTGATGGTTCCAACATAGGTATGTCACTTTCTGCAAATATTCTGGGGGAGCTGACTTGCCAACAAGTGATTTCACATTCTCCATCACAGTAAGTGACCAAGTTCGGATGGTGTATATGGCCAGCTGCACCACACAAACAAGTCATGAAAATGGGACTATAAGACTACAAGTACCAAGTTAGGGAGTGCCAACAGCATTGGTAGAGGGGGCCAATGTCCACCCTAAGTTTGGTTAACACTGTTAAAAAATGTAAAAATTATGTGAATTAATTACTGTTCTGCAGAGCATGTAGGGAGTCTGGGAGTGGTAATGGCCGCCCCAAGGGTCAAGCTATTGAAACTAGGGTTGGCATTTTGGACCGAAAAAATGAAAACCAAACCGAAAAAACCGAACCGTATTGAAAAACCCCAAATCAAACCTATGTAATTTGGGACCCGAGACAAACATGGTTCAAATTTGGTCAATACTACCAAAAAAGCTGTTTGCACCGAACTGAACCGACAATTTGGATTAATAGTAATGATTACTCTCTCCATCCCATTTAAAGGTTCTCACTTTCTTTTTTTGATGTTCCACTTAAAGATTCCTATTTTCTATTTTAGGAAACAATTGACACTCTTAAATACTCTCTCCATAAAAAAAATCTTCTCACTTTCCTTTTTCGTCCGTAACAAAAAAAATCTTCTCATTTCTAAATCTTCTCATCATACCCTCAATAATTCTGAAAATAATACACTATTACAACTACTTTTTTTGGATTTATCCTAGATTCCATCACATTATTCTACTATCTTTCCATCATATCCTCAATAATTCATATCCTCTTTCACTATTCTTAATCTACCTACTTTTAAAATGGGAAGGTTTTTAAGTTACGGAGGTAGTAACAATTGAATCATCAAATATTAAAAATAATACATTTATAACATTATCATCAATAACTCATTATATAATATACTCATCAAAATTATTTCTCAAAATATATTTGAATTTACATATTTAATTATTGTCTAAATAATCGTGTCATTTTGCCAATACGGGACGGAGGTAGTATTATTTATAATTATCATATTGCAGTTGATAAACATCATATCATCACCCCAATGCCGCAAAGGCTCCCACCTAAGGCGGGGTAAGGAGGAGTCGGATGTACGCAGTCTTACCCTTGTACTTTGCAAGGGAGACTATTTCCGAATGACTCATAGTTAATAATGTTGCATATAAATGATATAACAGTGTAGAGTGCATCCGTTGTGTTGGATGTCGCATGTTCGACTCCCAGGTCCAACTTTTCTAGTTAAACTTTCAAAATTCAAATTGCTTTCCAAAACAACTTTGTCCTACACATATACACCGGAAGAAGAGAAGGATTCCTCCATCAAATGTTTCTATATAACCTTGTTACTCTAGTTCAGTTTAGAATAATCGTGCCTATCAACTAGTCTGAATGAATGGGCTTGGTATGACATAGTATTGGGCTTAGACAGCCCCGGCTAGTATTGCTTCAGAACTGGAGCATTGAATATTAGTTAATTCTTTTATAAGTTCGGGTTTATTTGGTTTTGGGCGAACCGAACCGAAATTTCAGTTCCCAATAAATCAGTACCCGATTCAATAGAGGTTCGGTCTCGGTTATGAGTAAGTGAGTAACCGAAATGTTGATTCGATCCTTGGAGTGGACAGTATTGGCTCAGGACCATAACCGAACCCAGCCTAATTGAAACTAGAGTTTAGCCATTTAGGCTTACGAAAAAGGAATATTAAGTAGTACGGAGTATTAAAAAACAAATCAAATGAGCGGAAATGTTCTTTTGTTTCTATATTGAGAGAATTATTTATGGTGAGGTTATAAATAAATGCCTAAACATTGCATTTATACTAATTTATTGTTTCATATTCTACTTAGATAGTTCGACAAAAATATTTCGTTAAAGCAATGTTCTACAAATAAAAAAAGAAGAGAAAAACCACTCCCATTCCAAACCCTTCAAAACCAGCTTCCCGATCACAGCCTAAGAGGCTAAGAGGAAGTATAAAGTCCAACATTTACTTACAATAATAGCTCCAGCAGGGTCCATCCAGCCTTTTACGTAGTTAGCAAGTAATGCAGCAACTAGACCTATGACGTTGGTGACAACATCAAAGAAGTGGTCTTGGGCATATGCTTTGACAATCTCGTTGGTAAAGGATCGGCAATAGAGCACCAAAACTAGCTTCACAACAGTTACAAAAACCATAATGCCAACTACCCAGAACTCCTGTTCCTTTGTAAGTTTGAAATCACGCTTCTGCAGAAGGTGTTATATATGTTTCCATCAAAGCACACGGGAACCAATACAATTGACATTAGGAATCAAGTATGAAGCTCATCGATAAACCAAAATGAGAAAGTAGTTTTGTGACAGAATTATTGCCACTGTTAGTCTTCCGATTATAAACCCTTTTGGTACTCGACTTTGTGTTTTTCCACCTATAGTGGTTTAAATATAGTGACAGAGTCATCTTGGTCCTCGAGTCCTCGACAATCGGCATTCCATTTTTCTACATCCAGTCCCCTGACCATTGTAAACATGACACTTTTGTCCCTTCAACTATTATCATAGTGAAACATTTAGTCCTCTGCCTATTTGGTAAAATCATATTGGAAGGACTAAATGTGTCACTTATAAAAGTTGAATAACATAATGCAGAAAATTGGACAATGACTAAATATGACGGGTAGATAGAGTGTCTCACACGCAATAGTTGAAGGATTGAAAGCAGAAAGATTCAAAGTTGAGCACCAAAAGTGTCACTCACATAATAGTTGGATGACTAGAAATAGCAAAAACTATTTTGTGATGGTTAAGAAGAATTGCTTACGTTAGATATCAGCGTTCGAATAGACTCCAAAATTATTTGTAGTCCCAAAGTGGCCATAACAGATGCAAAAACAAGTATTCCCTGCATATCATCAATCAATCCAATGAAAAATCACGAATGACCAAAAAAAAATTAACACGCATTTTTTAAAGTAACTTCTGCAGTGATTTGAACTAAAATCACTTGGTTGGCTTAGTCCACAAGTGGAGCCGTGGACCACGCGCAAGTAAGAAATATAATTCATCAGAAAGCCTTTCCAATGTGATTAGACATTTTGACTTTCTTCGTTTGTTTTTTAGGGTTTTTAAATAGGAAGTAAAAAGAAGAACCACAACAATGAAAAACAAAATTTTTCTCACAAAAAATAAAACATTTTTTAAGTTAGAAGAGGTTTCATACTCCAGTGATGTGACTCTCATCTCTACATAATTACTATTCATAAAACATGTGTCTAAGCTCTATGCCTTCCTTGATCGCTTCTGACATTTCCTTTTTCAGCCCGAGTAAGCCCCAATCTATTGCATGAAGATAACAACACAGATAATATAAATGCAGATACATTTTGTGTCGCCCATGTCAAGAAAACATCAATACTATGTATTTCTCTATGAACATCTGAAATACCAACATAGAAGAGACAGATAAAGTACTCAAGTTTATTGAATCTTTTTTCTACTACCATTAGAAAACTCTGTATTCTGAAAACCAGGCTAAATATAACAATCAATCCTAACATTCAGGATACTTTTAGAATGTAATGAAATATAACTAGCAGATTACAGTGATGCACTCTGTTCTTCCCTTGTGGCAAGTACAGAGAAAAGCAAAAGAGCTTACCAAAGGTTGCATACGTTTCTTTCCAATAGGATACTTATATGGGTTTTGCTTCTTCATGGAGAAAGACGTAAACCACAATATAAAACCAGATAACAGATCAAGGAGTGAGTCTAATGTTGATGCAACAATCGCCAGAGAACCACTCCGAACAGATGCATAAACCTTAACAGCAAAGAGAACCATGTTTGCAATATTTGATATCCTTATGGCAGTTGCTTCACTTTTGGCCAATTGTTCTCTCTCTTCCTACAACGGAACCATTAAGAAGAGAATTAACATCACCCTAGCTACTCCTGCAAACTAATTAAGGTCTATGAAAATCACAGTTCATGCTTAATAGCAATTCAGTGACACACTAACCTTTGACATTCCAGGTGCAGAACCATGATCAGCTAAGGAATCCATTGCATTAAATCCCTCAAGCATTTCCACTTGTTGTTGATAATATTCTGCAACACTGTCTTCTTCTTCTGTGATCATTAGATAAAACGGTTATAAATAAGCACTAAATTCAATAATTAAAAAACAATACCTCATAAACAATCTTTAATAACTACTCTTAATGTTTCAATATGGAAACCAACTGTTACATTGACATCTCACAAAATAAATCAAATAATGAATTTCAAGTGCATGTGTTTCTAAAGGGTCACAAGCAAGGCTACATTAGTTTAATCTACAAGTGTCAACTTTAGCAGTTCAGTAGCCTGATATCAAATTTAGGATTTAAACCTGTTGAGGGTAAAACCACGGTACTTTGAGTGGATCATATGTTTAACTTACTGACGATGGGTAGATACATTAGGAATCGCTTCACTCCACTTCTCTGTTTAGACAATCACTGGAAAAAGACTATGTATGAAAGTGCAAAAAGGTTTCTTGTACTACACAACTCTGCAACAGGAGCACAGGTCTTACTTCCTTCTACAAGAGTATAGGTGTGCAGCTTATATCTGAATACAGAGTACAATACATTGCATTTGCATGTGTGTGTGACGGTGTGTGCATAAAGTATGAGCATGTGCAAGCACAAGTGTCAACTCAAGGGTAGTAGCCACAAACGAAGCATATTCCATGAAGCAGAACAGAAGGATTAAAATAGAATTCTTTAATATTTGCAACTTTGTGTCAATCCACTATGAAGCATCTTGTTCTTCAGAACATGGACCCACACCCCAACATATAATAGTGAACCTCTCTAGAATTGACAATGCAAACGACCTCATCTTATTCAATTGGGTCAAGTAAGCAGAGCAAAAATTTGAAAATGCATTATTTGATAGTTTAAGCCATGTAATGTTTCACAAAAAAATACTTGGAATTTGGACAATAAAACTTTTCTGATTTATGTATTACCTTCGTACCCCTTGTAACACAATACACATTTAATGAAGGACTCAGTATTGCACACCAAATCCATTTATAGTATTTATATTAAATGAAACCAACTGTAATTGAGAGTTGAAGGTGCTTTTCTTCTACAGAAAGTAGAAGAAAAATATATCCAGACTTGTACATGAAAAACAGACTGGCGGGGGCTCGGCCCCTGCAAGAATTTTTTTATGTATATATGTATGTATAATATTTATAAACAGTAAATTATATATTGAATTTTTAAACTTTGGCCCCCGCTATATATATTCCTTAAGCTCCGGCCCCCTTAACTTGGTGTTTCTGGCTCTGCCACAGATGAAAACATCATAAAATTGGCTATACACAGGGGCGGACCGTAGTACAGACCCGGGGGGCTGCCGCCCCCCCAACAATTTTTTTTTTAGTATATATATACAAAATTTTTATTTTTACCCCCCAACATTTAATTCTCACCCCTCCAAGAAAAATTTTGAACCCCCCAAAAAATATTTTCTCCCCCAAAGCAAAGCCCACTCGCAGAAACCCAATTGTTTAAGAGCCTAAAAAAATAGAAATTTTACAAGTAATATTATATCAACTCACTCCAAAATTTATTCCCCATTAACTCACCCCAAAATCTAATCCCAGCCCACCGCCTAGACCAAACTAATGAAAAACATGCGCACCTAGAAGAAAGAAACGGAAGATCGATTATTTTTAAATGATTGTCCTTATGCCTACTATGTTCATTGCTTAGCACATCAGTTGCAATTAGCATTGTTTGCTGCTTCTAGAGATGTGAAATATGTGCACAATTTTTTCATCGATTCAGTCTTTATTATTAATGTGACTAATTCTTCTTGCAAACGAAGTGATGAATTAAAGGAAGCTCAAGCACTTGAAATTGCAAGAATGTTGGAAATTGGTGAGCTTGAAACTAGCAGAGGACTTAATTAGGTTGGTACATTACAACAAGCTGGGGAAACTTGTTGGAGCTCACATTTCAGTTCTGTTTGCAGTTTGATTAGGATGTTTGCTGCAACTTGTTCTGTTTTAGAAGATGTTGAAGAGAATGGCAATAATTATTCTACTCGTGGAAATGCAGCTAGAGAACTTAAGAAGATTAAATCTTTTGATTTTGTTTTCTTGTTGCATCTTATTAAAGAAATTATGGGCATTACAGATCTTCTATGTCAGCATATACAGAAGAAGTGCCAAGACATAGTAAATGCTATGCATTTGGTGTCAAGCACCAAAATGTTGATCCAAAAGTTAAGGGAGGGTGGATGGGATAACTTCTTAGAAATTGTTAAAGAGTTTTGCACAAAGCATGAAATTGAAGTTCCTAATATGAAGTCTCCTTATGCGGTAAAACGCAAATGCCATGATCAAGAAGGGTTTGATATTGAACGTCCTTATGCGGTGAACAGATAATGGATCTTCTTACTCTTAGTGGTGCTTTGGATCCTAAGGACTCATATAAGTCTTTTAACATTGATGATATCTGTTCTTTAGTGGATAAATATTACCCCTTTGATTTTATTGAGCTGGAGAAGGTGAGCTTGAGGTTTCAATTGCAACATTATAAGCTCAATGTTCTAAACCATCCAAAATTGGCGAATTTTTCTACAATGGGTGAACTTTGTCAAAGATTAGCGGAGACGGAGATGTCAAAAGTGTACTTTCTTAGCTTGTTGATAAATTGATCCGACTTTTGTTGACTCTACCGGTTTCGACAGCAACAACCGAAAGGACTTTTTTCGCAATGAAAATTATAAGAACAAGGCTTCGCAATAAAATGGAGGATGAGTATGTTGCAGACAACCTGATTGTTTATATTGAAAGAGAAATTGCTAAAACTTTTGACTAAAAAGACGTGATTGAGGAATTTATCTCGTTGAAGAAGCGTTGAATACAATTCTAAAGTACTAACTTTAACTATTTTGTAATAATATATTTGTCTCTTCTTCTATTATAATGCTTCATTTAATTACTACTCCGTATTATATTAAGGTTATAACTTATAATAATAATCGCCTAGATTTTTTTTGTTTAAATTATCGCCCCCAATATCAATTTCCTGGGTCCTCCCCTGGCTATACACCATATAGGATATCACTTCATTGTCGTAAATTTCAAGAATCAGTCTAAAAGGTCTACAACATACATTATCAATGACAGTCAGAGATGGCAATTCAGCAACATACCACTCTTAGCGTATATACTTGATGCTGATACGGAATTTTATACAACTCAAAACGGAAATAAAATTCCATTGTTCACTTTTGATCTTAACTAAAATGCAAAATATTAGGTCACCGTAATAAGAAAGACATCAAAGATTCAAGCCCCCTAATTGCACTGGGACCGAAACGATAGTGATTAACCGGATTACTTGAAATATGATTTTGATATTTTTAAACAATTTAAAGAAAAAGGAAATCCATGAAATGTTTTTTTTTTGTTTTAAGTCACTCATTTGATATAAAAACGACAAGACAATAAGATACATGAGTGAAATGAGACGATTTAGGAAGCGTGTGAAAATCGAGAGAATTACTTGAAACGCCGAGGCAGTCAGGAAGGCTGTGACGAGTCTTCTCTTTCTTCTCCGGTGGCGGCTGGAAGCTATCGAAATTCAGCCGCCAAGACCGGTCAACATTGTCAGCCTCCGGTAAGAGGAGCTGCTCATCGGGGCCACCGGAATTCAAGTCGATGCTTATCGTGTCCACCATCTCAGGTTGTTGCTCACAACTGCTGAAAGTTCATGCAGGTGTGTATAGTTACAGAAAAGAGTAAAGGAAAAGTGACACATAGCGTAATTTATGTAAAGCTTAAGGGCATTGCTGTCAGAAACAAGTATAGCGGAATGTTCCTGCTTAAATAAGTGGTTCGGTACGGACGTACTAGCATACGGAGTATGGGAAATGCTTAGTGTACATGAGTTGTACACAAATTGTACATAAAACTCCCTTAGTTGTCTGTGTATACAGACAATTCGTTTAAAAAGGGGCAACACTTGATGTCAAATTGTCTGTGTACACAGGCAATGTACACATTTTGTGTACAATTTGTGTATACCAAGAATGATCCTACGGAGTATATCATATTTTCTAGTACACTTTTTGTCGAGTCGGGCTCCTCTCCAGTACATACGGTACTGGAGAATTCCATTTGATCCATGATAGAGATGCCACATACTCACTTGTTAAATCAAAGGCTTGGATATGATCTAGTGCTGTATTTATCCTCTCTATTGCTTCTAGGACGTACCCATTTGCCAGCTCCTTTACATTATTTTGACTTGTACGAAGTTGGCATTGAATAGTATGAATACTTAACTAACCTATTTTCAGTGGCGGAGCCAGGAGTTCGTGTCAATGGTGTCAATTTAGCAAAACAATATCATATAATAATGTGTACATATATAAAGCAAAAAGGCAAATATTGTCATTATCTTCGAACTTTCCTTTTTCGTCCGTCCCAAAATTATCTCATTTTTCTCCTTTTGGAAAAGAATTTGTGGTTCACAATCATTCTTACACATTTTTACACATTTCTCTCTCTTCTGCACAATTCTCCACCACACAAAACTCACTATCTTAATTAGTGTGCCCAGCCGAAATGGGAGAAAAAACAGGGACAGAGGGAATAGTAAAATTAAAGTACTAATTCACAATTGTCCCCGATGCGTTTTCATATTTTGAAAACGTTGTACAATTTTTTCTTTGTCAACACTTTTGAATATATCTTTTTCAATAAAAGTAATTAAGCCATCTTTCATCATAGCATCCCCATTCGATTGCGCAACCTGTTCTTTACGAACTTCATGGCTGAGAAGGCTCTTTCCACAGTTGCGGTGGCCTGCTATTTTGATTTTTTTTTTCTCTATTCTATTTGTGATCAACTCAGCTTTAGATAATCCATAAAGTGGATTCTTGAACTGAATGTTTAAAAATGGTTTAATTCAGACAATGGGTAATTGACGAAATTAATAAAATTCTTAAATTACTTACGTATATAAAAAATTAAGCAAATCAAATATTCCCTCCGCTCTCTAATAGATTGGAGTATAGAGTTTGACACAAGTTTTAAGGGGAAAGTAATAGGGATAGTGTAAAAGGTGTAGTGAGTTGTGTTTGAATGGAAAAGTAGGAAATAGAATGAAAAAGTAGGAAAAAGAATTATGGTATATATAGGTATATTAAAGAACACACCAAAATAGAAAGTGAGACATCTATTAGAGAACGAAGGGAGTAAAAAATAGCGTGGATTTGAAGGAATTTACTCCGTAATATATTAGAAAACAAACATCAAATTCACAAGTATCACTTTGATATCTAAATTAATAAACGGTTTAGTTATTTTTTTAGTCACTATAATATAGTACATTTTAATTCTGAAATTGATGTTAATTTTTTTTAGTCCATCACCAATGATAACAACCCAAGTTGACAACGAAACATATCTGGTTAATATGTTTCATGTAATTCTTTGTCATACTACTCAAAATCCATTTAATTTTAGTTTTTAGAAGTTTTTTATACATATTTTAAAATTTTAATTAATTTAGTTTTTGTTGTTTTGACTCTCATGTTAGCCTAAAAAAAAGATAAAATTTAAATTTTTATATTAACTCTATTTATACAACCAAAAATATCTTTTTTCCTGAATAGAAATGGTTCTTAGTAGTATTTTACTAAGACCTAAAACAAAACGTCTCATATATACATGAACTAAAAACGTATTTAAACCTTCAAACTAGGGGTGAGCATATCGATTTTTGTCAGTTTCGTTCCGTTCGGTTTGAAATGGGTTGAGAGAATTATTATCAAACAAAAATCATGCTATTTACTATTTTTTGGTTTCGTTCGGATTGGTTTAGTCCAGTTTGGTGGTTCGGTTTGAGTTAGGGTTGGGTGTATTTTTTAATAATATATGAAAGTTTTATTGAATTCGTTAGTTCGTTTCAATTTTGTTTGGTTTTTTCAGTTTTGGTCTTATTTAATACGGTTGAGAAGAAATACTACCAAATTCAATCCCAATTTGCATATATATATATATGGTCCGGTTTCCGTTCAGTTTAATTCAATTTGGTACGATTCGGTTCAGTTAAACCAAACCAATATGTCCACCCCTATTAAAATCCCAATTTGAATAATCATCAAAAATTCAAACTTCAAGTTTGATTATAATAAGTTCGGAAACTACTATCCACAATCTAAATAAACAAAAAAACAAAAACACCAACACGTATGTACTGCAACATTATATTCAAATCAGCAAAAGCAAATAGTTTTTTCTGAAGATAAGATGGCTTGGACGGAAACGTGGTGACTGGTGAAGCTGTTGTAGTAATTAAAAATGCATGAGGGAAAGGTTTGATAAAAGTAAAATCCTAACCATTGATTTAATAAGTGGAAGTGTGGCATCTCCATAATGGATCAACTGGAATTGTCCAGTATCGTATATACTGGAGAGGAGCCGGACTCCTTTTTGTCATACCTACAATTTTTTTGGAAGAAGGAGATTTAGATTAAAATCACACCATTTAGAAAGGGACTAAAATAACAGAAGTACCACGAGCAATCATTTGTCCTTGGGCTAGATTCTGAGTTAATTATCTTTGACAAAGCAATATAATTCGTTGATCCAAAATTGGACGTAATTGAGCCAATAATGGTTACTGCAAAACTCTCATCCCTCAAATCTAATGAAAGAGTCTTACAATAATAAAAATAACCATTAGAAAAATAAAAAGTCTGATCTTGAAAAACAAATCGCAAGAAAAAAGTAAAATTAAAAAGATGCTAGAGTCGAAACCCCTCGATCGATCCCCTGTTTCTGCGTTTCCGAAACCATCCCTCGAATCCGCGCCCCACCGCCACGTTCTTTGTCCCTGCTTCGCAAGCGCCGCTACACCGAGATGGAAGAGACGGGAAAACTTATACTACACTAGAGACGGCTAGGAAGCCAAACCCTAGAGAGAAGATGGTTTTTCAAACTTTTATTTACCTACAATTGATATATATACAAAAAATACATATCATTACTGCAAATTCAATTTAATAAATTTAATACGGAGTACATCATATTTTATCGTATACTTTTGGGGAAAGTACGAAAAAGATACTTCTGGTTAAGCCTGTTTTCAGATAGGGTCATGTGTTTCATTTATTATCAAAGTGGTTCATGTGTTTGAATTCCGTTATCACAAGAGGGTCACACCGTTAAAAACGTCTGAAAAAGACCGTTAAAAGTAACTCCAATTTTCAAAACTACCCGAAAAATTAAAAGAAAAATACTGGAAGGTGCGCCTTAATAAGATGACTGCTAGGCTATCTTTCTTTTTTGTTTTCAGCCACCCTTGTCACCAGAAAGTCCACCAGAAAAGTGATATTAGTGAAATCATTTTTAAGAAATATTTCAAACAGGTCTGAAAAATCCAAAGGCGAAGGTGGTTTGGAGGTCATCTTGATGAGGCACACCTTTAGTTATTTTCTTTTAATTTTCCGGACACTTTTCAAAATCGGAGTTACTTTTAACGGTCTTTTTCAGATGTTTTTAATGGTGTGACCCTCTTGTGATAATGGAATTCAAACACATGAACCACTTTGATAAAGAATGAAACACATGACCCTATCTGAAAACGGGCTCAACCACAAGTACCTTTTTCGTACGTTTCCGTATACTTTTTGTCATAACTATAATTGATATATACATACAAAAATACATATCATTACTGAAAATTCAATATAATAAATTTAATCAAATAAAATATACAATATTAATGTTAGTAGTGATATATTAAACTTATTAATAAGATTAGTTACAAAATACTAAGAATAATGTATTTCCTATTCAATTTGAATAAGAATTATTCATTAACATTGATAGAGTATATGAGCTCAGACTCTATGGCTCACATACTCAGAAGATCAATACAAAGACAATTGGCGTTGATAACTCCGTATTTAGACACGCATTTGATGCGTGTTGAGATCGGCTTTTGATGGTTTTCTTAGCTTTAAGGTGTTACAAGTCTCAGTTTTAGCTCAAGTAATGTTTAACAAGCGTTGGTTCGAGTTTTGTGTCATTTGGAATCAAAATCAGGATTTTAGAGTTCGGCACTGGCGCTTAAGGAGAAATCGGAATGAGTTGAGAAGCATTTGAGATTGATTTGAGAGCTATGGAGATCACCGGGAGGTTTACGATGGAGATTTGATGACAAAAGAGCTCTAGGATTGGCTTCGGGATCAAAAGAAGATGAATGAAGCTTGAAAACGACGATCAGGATGACCTTCTGTCAATCGTTCAAGCATATCTCTTTGTAGCAACAACCAATGGACACGATTCAAGTTTTATATGAAATACAACTTCAAGAGATACAAATCATATGAAGACACCATTACGAGAATATGAGAGCAAGAAGGTGAAAACAGACGATGAAGTCAGATGATCTCTGCTGCGATTTCAGAATGACACCTTCCACCGTTTTGATCATATCTCTAGATTGGATGATTCAAATCACATTCGGGCCATTCGGCAAGTTGGGGTGGATAGAAGACTTCATTATCTATAACTTTCATGAAGGAAGTTTTGTCAAATTCGGACTGGAGAAAAGGCTGAAGAACACGGACGCACGACCGTGTGTAAAAGGACGCACGACCGTGCGTAAAAGGACGCACGATCGTGCGTAAGAGCCAACAACGAGACAACTAATCTGCCTGCTACGCACGATCGTGCGTCGCAGGGTACACACAATCGTGCGTACCCCCGAAACGTGGATTTCAGCCCCTTTTTAGTCCCAGTTCAGCCCAAACTCATCTGTTTTCTATAAATAAGGCCTCC